CAGGGTATCAGCCAGGCACTTGGGGTGGGGGCGGGGGAGAACACACAGTGGAAAGGAAGCCTGAGCTCCTGGCTGAGGAACGACTATGAAAAGCCATGTATACCAGGATCACATTTTGGGTATCAAATTGCCTTCTCATGCTATTAAGAACGTTTTAAACACTCTAATCACATAGATCAGCTAACATAAACAACTTGAGGGGCAGCGGGGGACTTGAAGCAAATAAATAAATAAATAAATACAGAGTAGCCAGATCCCCTAGGCCGGGGATTAAATCCCTTTAATTTAAAAAAAAAGTCCCATTTCCTGAGTGATGAAAGTTGCAGGAGTGTAGGTTTCTCTCCTCATACCACACCGCTGGGTGTAAAATTACTGAAATTAAACAAGTCAAGATTCGTTTAGTTATTTTATAATATAGATGTAACTTCTTCTGGTAACAGTTGCTGGTATGAGGTTTCTCTTTGTTGAGTAACAAAGTTTGGAAAGTTCAAGAGAACTTCCTTAATAATATGACCTCTTGCTTAAAACGTTTCTTAGTAACAGAATCGTTTCTCTTTTCTAGAAACATATTAACAGCTTATAGTCCAACCAGCCCATTTCTCTGGCTTTGGGAACAGACCAGCTAGTAACAATAGTTGCTACTTTGTCTTTAGTTCACTCCTGAGACCATTGATTGCTAGAACTTCTGTGTCCTCTGATCCCCTAGGCTGGATATGTTGGCAGGACAACAAAGTGAAGTGATAATAAATGTGACCTTTGCACGGCAGTTAATTTCTCTGAACATTTCATGTTGAAGTCACAGTGTCATTTCAGATAGGTTCCAAAACATAAAAATTGGAATGATCAAAACATGCAGAGAGAGAGAGAGAGAGAGAGAGAGAGAGAGAGAGAGAGATGAAGAAACAAGCAAGCCTGTCATAGAGGTAATAGAGGTAGACTCTGGGGACATGGGGATGAAAGGGAAACTGGGGACTCTGGTGATGGGAAATGTGCAAAATGTGCACTGGTGAAGGGTAGGGTGTTGGAACATTGCATGACTGAAACCCAATTATGAGCAGCTTTGGAACTGTGTATGTCGTGGTGATTCAACGCAAAAACTTAAGAAAATGAAACAAAACATAATCTCAGCTGAAAGCCCTTTGCTAGGAGAACCAAGGGATTTCGACATTTAGTGCGTTCCACACCCCCCAACCCCCAAAGTACTAGTTTCCTCGGGGAGCAATGAGTTGAGGTGCAACTAACTGGAACAGATTCATAGCACAAGTCCCCACTGCGACATTTACATGAATGGTTTAATTTATGCACAAAACACGTGTAATAAACAACATGGGTGTAAGCAAGTATACAAATTATTATGGTTGTGGGGCTGGGCCCATAGCACAGCGGGTAGGGCATTAGCCTTGCACGCGGCCGACCTGGGTTCGATTCCCAGCATCCCATAGGGTCCTCCGAGCACCACCAGGAGGTGCAGAGCCAGGAGTAACCCTGGTGCATTGCCAGGTGTAACCCCCCCTCCCCAAAAAGCAAAACCAAAACCAAACCAAACCAAAGAATTATTACGGTTGTGATAAGAACAACTTCCGTTAAGAAAGGTAGCAGCTTGGAGTGTAGGCTATAGAACCTCAGTTTGAAGAGGCCTGGATCATCTGAAGCTGGGGGAGTAGATGCCCTTCCTTGTGGAAGGAAAGGGCTAGAGACCAGTTTGAAGGGAGTGTGGCACTGTAGCACGGTCCTCCCGTTGTTCATCGATTTGCTGGAGCGGGCACCAGCAATATCTCCCCACAAATTGTGAGACTTGTTGTCACTGTTTTTGGCATATTAAATATATATATTCAATATATAAAAATATAAAATCAGTTGTCACTGTGTTTGGCATATCAAGTACATCAGGGGTAGCTTGCCAGGCTCTGCTGTGCGGGCGAGATACTCTTGGTAGTTTGCGGGGCTCTCCAAGAGGGGCGGAGGAATCGAACTCGGGGTTGGCCATGTTGGCCGCGTGCAAGGCAAACGCCCTACCCGCTGTGCTATCACTCTAGGCCTTGAAGGGAGTGTAGGGCACCAGATTTGGAGAGGACCCAGCTGAGAATCTGTGTACTTGGGAAATCCTCAATTACTGCAAGAGCGGTTTGATTTTATAGTCGCTGCTTCCTGGAGAAGATGTACGTTCTGTGGAACAATGTGAAACTTCTAGAAGAATCCAAGCCGATAGATTTATTTCCTGGAGTGGTCCAGATAATCAATCCTAATTGTATTGTGATCATTTACTTATTGAAAAGAAGACTCTATTTAGCGACATATGCTCATTAATTAACTCTTAATTTTTTTTTCAAGTAGGAAGTGGCTACACTCTTTTGACTTTTTTTTTTTTTTTTTTTTTTTGCCACACCTGGCGGCGCTCATGGGTTTCTCCTGGCTCTGCATTTTCAGGAATCAGTCCTGGCAAACTAAGGGAACCACGTAGGATGCCGGGGATGAAACCTGGGCCAGTCGTGTGCAAGGAACACACCCTACTAGCTGTCCTGTTGCTCTGGCTCCGCACGCTTCACTTCTGAAATGAGAGCTGGGGTTCTGCTGGTCTCCAAGTCTCACTCCGACATCTTCCTAAACGCAAGGTCAGCTTTCTTTGTGCCGTTTCCCTGTACACTGAACCGTGTTTTGGAAACCTGCAGTTATCTGAATTCCCATCGGGTGACATTGTTTAATCTAACATTCCCTCTTTCAGTCTGGGAAAACAGCTTCCAGGACACACCACCTAGAGGTTCCAACTCTGGAAGTTCTGGAGTATCCAATTCCACCCTCTTCATTCGCTCTGATGTTATTCTGGTGTTCCTTCTCCCCCCCCACCCCCCCAACTTTGGGCAAAAAAGTTCTCTGTGGCTCCCCTTGGAGACAAGCAAGGGCTCCCCTGGCGGGAGGGGGAAAGCCTTTGACAGTGGCCAAAAACAAGGTCCCCTTGTAATCTTGGAGCCTGTCAGGCCACCCTGGGTCCTGATGTAGCAAGGCACTTCAAACCAACTTTTCATTTTTCGGTGGGAAAACTAGTCTCTGCTACCGGCAGGAAAAGGCGATCGCTTTAAAATCCTGATCACACCCACTTCCAAACCTAAGATGGAAACATACAAACGACCTCTTGGCAGAGTGGCAAAAAGTGTTATTTTTCTCCGAAGACAGTACTAATGGGAAATTATCACAAAAAGGTTTCCTCACTATCTAGAATGGAAGCGTGGCAGCTTTTCCTGTCCTAGGATCACGCAAAGGTCTTCAAAGATCCCACTCCCTGTCCTCCAAGGGCCTTGAACAGATGAACTGAGGTTTTCCAGACTCCCTTCCTCTGTCAGTCGGGTTGTCACGTTACCATTAAGTTCTCCTTAGTGCCTGGATGTGTCTCACTCATACAAAAAGTACACACAGTGGATCAACTTCTGTGACGAGCCAGAGGTGTGCTTGGTAAACACAGAGTCACATTCTTTCACTTCTGCGAATCGGGAACCGATCCACGGAACCTTTCCAGCCGACCCACCCAGACGATGGATAAATAATAATACCACCCTCTGTCTGATCCCAGACCATTGGGTCCTCAGTACTTCAACCCAGCCTTGTGTGCTTCCTCTTGAAAACCTTCTCCTGCGTGCGTGCCTACCGTGTCCAGACAAAAAAACGCATTTCTGGGAGCCAGTCCCCAGTGCCCCTTTCCAGGTACGCGGGCTCCAGGCAGCTCCGAGATGGACTGTACACAAGGGTGCTGCCCGCTGCCCCAAGTGGGGTGGACACCGACCGCTGGCGTGGTGCTCCTCACACCTGCTCACAGCGTGCAAGTGTGTGCGCGCGCATGTGTGTACATGTACGTGTGCATGTGCCCGTTTGTGTGTGTGTATGTGCGCGCGCGTCTGTTTGTGTGTGTGCATGTGCATGTTTGTGTGCGTACATGTGCATGTGCGCGCGTGTGTGCATGTGCGTGTTTGTGTATGTGTGCATGTGCGTGTGGGCGTGCGTGTGCATGTGCGTTTGTGTGTACATGTGCATGTGCGTGTGCGTGCATGTGCGTGCGTTTGTGTGTGTGTGCATGTGCGTGTTTGTGGGTGTGCAGGTGCGTGTGTTTGTGTGAGTACATGTGCGTGTGTGTGCTTGTGCGTACGCGTGTTTGTGTAAGTGTGTGCACGCGCGCGTGTGCGCACGTGCAGGCCGGGTGCGGGGTGCGCTGGGCTGGGGGGTTGGGGGCCGCTCGGAGCACGCGGCCTGTCCTGTCCGGGCCTGGCCGGGCCGGGCCGGCGGCGCTCGGGGCGGGGGCGGGGCGGGGCGGGGCGGGCGAGTGGCCGGCGGCGCCTCGGGGCGCCCGCGGGGCTTTTCTTTCTCGGGCTTCTCTTTTTTTTTTTTCCCTTTTCTTTTTTTTCCTCTTCCGAAAAAGCAGCGCGCCGCCCCGGGGCCCCACCCCCAGCGCCGCGTCGGGCGGGCGGAGGCGGCCGCGGCGCTCCCCTCCCCCAGCCTCCCCTCCCCCGCCGCGCCGCCGCCGCCGCCGCGCCCCTCTCCGCCCCTCCCCCTCCCTGCCTCCCTCCCTCCCTCCCCGGGTCCCTGCCTCCCCTCCCCCGCCGGCGCAGGCCGCTCGGGTTTGTTGTGCTGCGCGGCCGCCGCCGCCGCCGCCGCCGCCGCCGCCGCCGCGTCGCGGGCCGCGCGCTCATTTGCGCCTGGCTGGTCCCCGGCCGCGCTCCCCGCGCCGCGAGCCGGAGCCGTTGGCCGCGCCGAGCCGTTGGGCGCCTTCCCCGCGCGCCCGCGTCGCCCTCCCCGCCGGCCTCGACTCCCGGGGCGCCGCCGCCCCCCGCCCCTCCCCCGCCGGCCGGGACCCGCGCGCGCCCCCGCCCGCCCGCCCGCCGCGCGCGCCCGCCTCCCGCCCGCCCGCCCGCCGGCCCGCGCCCTCCGCCCGCCGGGTGAGACGCGCCTCCCCGCCCCCTCCCCCCGGGGTTATTTTGGGGGTGGTTGGAGGCGGCGGCGGCGGCGGCGGCGGCGAGGAGGGGAGTTTCCTGGAGCCTCCGTTCCCGGGAGGGGGGCGCACGGGCGTCGCAGGCCAGCGCGGGCCAGGTAAGCGCGGGGCGCGGGGCCGGGGCGCGGGGCGCGGGCCGGCGGGGGAGGGGCGCGGGGGGCGCGGGCGCGGGGGCGGGGAGGGCCGGGCGGGCCGCGCGGCGCCCCCTCCCCCTCCGCGGGCCCCGAGCTCGGCCCGGCGGGCGCCGGCTGGGGCCGCCCGCGCCGCGCGGACCCGGGCGCGCTCGGGGGCTCCGGCCCGGGGGCCCCGCGGCCTCGGGGGCCCCGCGCCCCCTCCCCCGCCGCCCGCCGCCCTGCGTCCACCCCGCGTGCCACGGAGCGGCCCCGGCACCCCCCGCGAGTGTGCGCGCGTGTGTGTGCGCGCGCGCGCGCGGGTGTCGGTGCCGGGCTGGGGGGCGGCGGCGGCCGCGGGGCTTCCCGGGCGGCGGGTGCGCGGCGACTCGCGCCCCGGAGCCGTCCTGCTCCCCGCGAGCCTATTTTTAGCGTTTCGGTGGAAAAACCTCGCGCCGCCCGCGCGGGGCCCCGGGCCGGGTCCGGCGCGGCGCGGCGCGCGGGGGGAGGCGGCGGCGGCCGGCGCGGGAGGGGGAGGGGAGGCGCGCGCCGGGCGGGCGGGCGGGCGGGTCGTGCCGGGGCGGCCCCCGCCCCCACCCCACCGCACCCCGCCCCGCAGGCCCCGCCGCCCCGGGACTCGGCTCCCGAGTGGGAGCCCGCAAAGTTGGGCCCGCGCCCCGGCGAGTTGCGTCCGGGTGCCACCCAGGCCCGTTGGCGAAGCGCGTCCGGGCCACGTTGCGCCCGGGGCCCCCTCGGGGACCTCCCCCACCGAAGCCCACTTTTTTTTTTTTCTGTAAGTGGAACTGGGCCTCTTCCCCCGGCAGGTTTCGGGGGCAAGTTCCCAACTCGCTCCCGGAGTCGGCACTCGGCGGAGATTCCGGGTGGCCCGGGAACCGGGTGCGTTGCGGGGTAGAAACCGGGGTCGCCGCCGCCGCCGCCGCGGGCTCCCGAAAGTGCCCCCGCGGTGAGGGCTCCCAGGCCCCCTTTGGTCCTTGCGAGTGGCAAGTGCCCCGACCTCGCGGAATAAAAAAAACCCAAAAACTGCGTTTCCCCTAGGCCTGGAGTGGACTGGAAACGTGGGACGGGGTGCAGGCGCCGAGGGGAAGTTTTAGGACCGAGGTGCTGTAATTTGCAGTTGACTCAGGGAAGTTTGCTGCTGGTTTTTCTGGCTTCCACAAGACCCTTCTGCTGATCTAAAACAATCTCGTTCTTGAAATGTGCTGGGGGAAACGTGGTTCTTTGCAGTCCCCACGGCTTCTCCCCTCCCCCACCCCCCACCGAAAGCGTCCTCTTCCTCCACTTTTTTTTCCTTGACTCCTTTATCAGATTGGGTCATGTAAGTCCCTCATGGTGTTTCAGTGTGCTTCCCTAAACCAAACGGGCAGGAAATGTTCCGGTTCCCCGTTTCAGGGACGTTAGTTGGCATTTGGCTTTTCCCAGAGTGGTCCGTTTTTCTTTTTGTGACCTATCATTCACAGCACATTGGTGTGTTGTAGTAATTCCGACTTCCTGGGAGCTGTGTGTTTTCATCATTTTCACAAGTTTATAGTCTAGGGAACCTCCAGCAGCTTCGTCTCCATGAAAACAATGTGTATGTTGGGTTGTACCCTGGGAGTTTTCGTGGCAAGCAAGCTTCGGAAATGTTCACTTGAGGGTTCTAGAAATAGCATTTACCTGTGGAGGAGTGGCGGCAAGGGAAGATCTAGACGTGGAGAGGAGTGTGACGGGTGGTTTGCTTTTCTTACATCAAGGTTTTCCTCCTCGGTGATCTTCCCCCCACTTTTGTTGACCCAAGCTGTGACTGTGATCTGTTTTATTACGGTCGTTGAATCAGCAAATGACTGTCATTTTGAATATTACCTGTGGAGCAAAAGCTGTGAGAAGTGAAAACAATGTGCACACGAAAGTTTTTCTCTTAAAAACTTTCATGTCTAATAGCTTAATTAAGGTACTTCTTAGGGACAGAAGATTGTTGCGGAACTGGTTTATGGGACCTTTTTCTTCCAACGTGCACGAGCTTTGATTATTAATATGGAGACTGGTAAAGTTCGTGGCCACTTGGGGAGGTTTTTATTTTTTTGGTTGCTTCTAAAGAAGTTAAACGTTTTGGTGAGTTTTTTTTTTTTAAACAAGTGCCCAGGAATCTGTGTTACTTGTTTTTTCAACATCTCATTAAGGTTTATCATGATTACCACGATGATCCATGTCTACTGAGAGTGCAGAAAGTAACTGCTTCCTGTGTGTTGGGAGTCTTTCAGGCTAATATACAAAAAGGGCAGAAGCTTAATATAAATAGAGGGATTACTGATACAGAGATGAGACTAATGAGCCTTTTGAATGACAACCTGTTGAATAAATTGGTTTTTATGTGACAACGGACTCGAAGTATTACCTTGTCAGAGGACAGAGGACTCCACCAGTTTACTCCGGCATTGTTGACAAATAATTTGACTTGACAGATTTTGATGAGGTTTGTGGAAGTAACTCATTGAGCTCGTTCAATTTCTGTCCTATTTATATAAAAAGGATCGAGAGGAATGGGTAGGAAGTCAGAAGGGAGAGGAGGTGGCGGAAATAGTGGCACTGCCTGGGACTTTGCGTTTTTCTGGTACCTGTGAATTTGACTCATTTCACAAATGACGTGCAGTATGAAATTTTGGAAAACAAAACTGCGTAACGACTAAGATGGAGATACCGATTCAGATTCCTAGTGTCGAGAGGCTAGGACCCCCAGGTTTGTGGAGCTAAGAGGATGGCCCAGTCTGGAGACTGCTGTGGTGATGTCTACTCTCTTATCACACCTGAAGTATGAATTGAAAGAAAACTGTGACTGAGCTGTTCCTGAGGGGCTGGCCAGTCACTGTGGCTGGCTTTGGGTGCTTCCTGGGCCATGCTCTAGGAAAGGTGTGAGGGACTTGTTTATTTATAGCTCAGGTGAGTCCTAGGGGGAGGATAGTATCGGGTCCTTTGCTTTTGGTTTGTGGGCAGTGAATCAGAAGTTAATTAACTGTGTCGCAGGCCACAAACACAGGATGACGCACTACAGTTCAACTCTGGGTCCTCGGAGCCCTACAGTCCATGTGTTTTCTCCGTGGTTGTCGTTTTGCCAGTTTCTCTCCAGTTGTCCGGTTAGTCTCATCTAGACATATTCTTGGAAAAACTAGCGTTTCTAATCAAGTTTAGGATTCTGGAGTCAGACATCTCTACAGATTGGACCACGGAAGTGAGAGGATGGATGAACAAAATTCATAGGACTTGACCAGTCTTTGTGTGTCCATTTCTTGAAGTAGAATCATCTTAGAATGCAGTCTCATCTGCTGCTGTAGTTTCTTCTTTCCTTAAGATTGACAGCAGCGGATGGGGCTGGAGAGATCGTACGGTGGGTAGGGTGCCAGCCATTGGGGGTTTGATTCCCTGCCTATTTCCGGAGGGCCCCTCCTCCAGAGTGATCCCTGAGCACAGAGCCAGGAGTAAGTATGCCCTGAGAAGAGTTGGGCTGGCGTGGTGCCCCTTGCTTCCCCAAAAAGATTGACAATGGTGAAGGAAGCTTCTCCCTTATAGAAATAAGAAAATATGGTTTCATGTCTCTAAGAAGAAGAAACAGGGTTTGCCCTAACTGCCCTGAGATGCTAGTTTCTGAGACATACAGAAGAAGACTCAGCTTTTTGTGGAGCTTAGTGACTTGGTCTGGCGTCCTTGGGGAGAACTTGTCTGCCTTCAAACCTAGGCTCCACCTTCTTAAGCTACAGGAGCTTGAGGAAACTGTGTCCCAGTGTTTTCCCCTGTGTAACTGGGATTGGAAACCAAGAGTTGAAGATCCAGAGAAGGTCCTCACTCAGTATAGTTCTTGACGTACAAGTAGTATCTTAGAAATGTGAACTCTTTAGGATAATGATGGGATTCAAGTTTGCTTCTTTGTCTAACAGTTTTGCTTGGTATGTATTTTAGTGAAGTCATAGGTCATACAAAGATGTTGACAGCTTCAGGTCTTAAATTCCTTTGCAAAATACTCCTAGTGTAACTTTGTTTAACTTTAAAGTTGTGCTTTACCTTCAAGTTGGGATTTGGAAGGCTAAGTGGAAACAGTATCAAGCTGGTTGGTTGTAGCTGGTGGTGGATCTTTGACTTGCCTTTGTTGCTACTTTGTTCACATTTGACCTGGACTTTTGCAGCATTAGAAACATTTTAAACAATTCTCTAAATTAAAAAAAGTTACTTTTTTGAGTCTTGCAGTATCTAAAATACTTTTTATGTCCAGATGATTCCTTCAAGTAGGTTGTTTTCTTCTGCCTTTGACTTTTCATTTGCTTCTTCCACATTTTTAATCAAGGCAGGTCTAGGAAGTTGTTTGTGTACATATACACATAATATATTACATATATATATAAAATCCTTTTTTGGGGGGGAGGGGGAAAATCACAGCTGGCAACGCACAGGGGCTACCCCTGGCTCTGCACTCAGGAGTTACTCCTGGAGGTGCTTGGGGGACCATATGGGATACTGGGAATCGAATGCAGTACTATCACTCCAGCCCCTATATTCTGCTTTTCACTTGAATTAGTTTTGAATTTTTTATTGAGGCACTGGGATTTGCAATGCTATTATGTTAATGACATTATCTTGAGTACATCTTCTAAGCCTGGTCTTACTCTCTCTCCCCCTCCCATCTCCTTTTCTTCTCTTCTTTTATTAGCTCAGTCATTTTTTTCCTGTTTGGTTTTAGACCACACCCAGGGGGTGCTGGGGGGCTTCCTCCCAGCTGTGCTCTGGGGACCAAGTGGTGCTCGGACGAATCCTGGGGCTGTCACCTGCCTTCCTGCCCTTTGTGCTATTTTCCCAGTCCATTCAACGTGAATTGTAACTACCAATAGCGTTCTGTGTGTCTGAGCCGTAGTGCTTTGAAAGGCACACGTGACCTTCTAAGTGGTTGATATTCTGATTTTAATACCAAGGAAACCGAGAGGGATTTAGGTGCCGTATTTGACTTG